TGGGAGGGAGAGCACTCCAATCCCCTCCCCTCCCTCCCAATCCCTTTCGAAGGCCCGACTCGGACCTTCGATTTCTCTCATCTTCTGAGTGGCTTCCCGAAAAGGATACGGAAAGGGCGTGTCCTCGAGCGGATGGACGGCTGCAAGCAAGGTGTTGCTGGAAATGCAAAAGGCTCATATTATACATGGTATCATATTCTTAAAGGAAAGTCGCTCGCAGTCTGCACCAAAGTTCTACTCTCTCTCTCTCTCTTTCTCACGCATGCATTTCACGCATGAATCAACCACTTTGGGCTTCGAATTATTGAGTTGAAAGAATCATAATTGCAATTTGCCAGATCCTCTCCCACTGTAACATCATCCCACCTTGCATACCCCCCTTAAAAACAACTAAATCACTGCAAATAGTCTAGTCGAATCCAGTAGGGGGCTCAGAGCAAGAAACAACACATGCAATGTGCCACCTTGGGAATTTGGTCCTGAACCTATTGATCTGGGAGAATCTGGGGCACTCCAATCATTGTTGATCACTGCATGCAGGAGAGGCATTGACTTGAACCGCATGAACTCTGACTTCTCACCGTGAGCATGTTGCAAGCCGTACAACTGAAACTCCGGAGAGAACGGATCACACGTTCACAACATCTAAAGCCTCAGAACTTTTGCTTGGCAGCTCCAGTCAATCGAGCTTGACGTCCTTTAGGAACGATGCAGTAGTAAGTGTAGTGGTGCTCGTCAAAAGTCTCAGCCTCATGGTAATGCGGAGTGTATTGCTCACCATGCCTCCTCCGCATGACTTCCTCATACCTCTGGCGTGTGCTGAACAACTCGTCGGTGATCAGCACCCACAAATACTCTCCGCGCTGAATGGAGCTGCCGTGCACTTTGGTGAGATTGAGCCCTGCACAGCGCGCTGCATACAACTCTTCACAGCACGGTTGGCTCTTGAAGAAATCCTTTCCGTTCTCCAACACCAGGACTCCCCACCTGGTTTTCTGAGCATCTTCAACATACCTGTCAACCCAACCAGGTCCCCCCAGTTGCTTGTCAGGGAGTTGTCCGCACACAACGTGAAACCTTCACGTAGCAAAGCCACGACAGCCTGGTCGGCAAAATCCTTTTGGTTGTTGGTGCGTGACAGGATAAAGTCGGCCTTGCTGGCATCAGACACTAATTTGTGGGATACCTCAGGAGCCAACTTTTGGACACGATTGGCTAACGTGCCAGCTCCCATCAACTGAGCCAAAGAAAAGGACAGCATCTTAGGCACCACTTCAGCGCCTTGCAACTCGAGTGGCACTCGCCGGCCAGCTTGAATCACGTTCGCAACGTCGTCGATATATTCACTGGAGTTCGCTGCACCGTTGCATGCAGAAGCTAACCCTTGGACGGCACCTCCCACAGCTGCTCCAAGGGCTGCTGTTTTGAGCACCTGCTTGGCATTTTGGGCGCTGAAGATCTCATCGCGGCTCTTCGCATCAACCATTTGCTTGATGCGTTCCCCAGCAAGGCCCTCCGAAATGGCCAAATCCACAGCATCGCTTGTGATCTTCGATGTTGTGGTGGTCAATGCACCCATGGCAGCGCCTACACACACTTTGGCACCTGCACCGGCGCAACCAGCAACAGCGGCGCCACCTGCAATGCTCAAGCCGCCTCCTAAGGCCCCCATCGCAGCTCCAACAGCTATGTCCTTGATGTATTGTTCGGTGCTGCAATCTGGGTCTTTCCACATCCGTAAGCCGCCGTTCACACCTGGAAGCTGTGCAAGAAAACTACCCGTGCTCCGTTTCTTTTTCTTTCCTTTGCCCTATGGGCCTATGGTGAACCTGGAAATGAGCTGTCCAATCTTCTCATTTCAGTTGGCTTTGAGAAGGAGATCACCAGGAGATCCGATAACAATGCAAATCGCTAAGGCCTGAAACATCCTGAAACTGGGCTCTTTTGGTCAGAAGGCTTGGCTCCAGGAGACGGGATGTCAACGTTGCGATGGTCAAAAACGTGCTCCGTTCAAAAACTCCTAGGCACCATATTCCCTCTTCGCAAGCTTTGTGCAATGAACTTTACCCACAATGCACAACAGTTAATACGTATATTGGTGCAGTTTTGAGAATCTGGCATGGGGAGTGTCCGGGAAGTCTCTCACTTGCCGCGCTTGGCCCCATTTGGCATCCATGGCTGGGAAAGTCAACTTATGTAGGCCCAGCTTGGGCAAGGTGTGGCTCTGGGCACCGTTCACGAGTCTAAACGTAGGGTCTCCAAATAGAACTATGAAACTGAAAAATGCATCAAATCAAGCATCAGTGGGTATGTGCGAACACCTATATATGATCCAGTTACACCAAGAAACCACACACATCTCTCTCTCTCTCTAATATATATTTTACACTCAGCATATTCTTGTGCTGCCAGTTGGCGCAATACTATTGCGCAGCGTTGTCCCTTTCGAAAGTATTTGTTGCCACCCGTTTGCAACACGTTGACTTTGGACAACTCCCACCTGAAATCAGAAGTGCGCTTCCCGCCACTGAGATGCCCAGGCTTGCACCTCCGGTGAATGCTACTGCGGCGCCTCCGCTGATGACTAAAGCGAGGCCACCGAGTGTTGCCAGAATGGCATAGCCCCATTTGATGTACCAACCATATGTGCTCCACTTGTCTTCTTCACCACGTTGTCTGCGGAGCTCAAGATCATACCTTCTCTTCAGTTCTGGGTCAAGCAAAACATGCCTGGCCAGTACGATCTTAGCTGTCCACACTGTGCACTCATCCTGGTCCTTGTTCGTATTCTTGTCAGGATGCCACTGTAGCATGAGTTCATGAAACTTCATCTTGATCCTGTTTTGCACCTGCTCATTTTCCACCTGGGTGTAGCGCTCCAGGCCAAACAGGGTGTAGAAGTCCTGGTTCTCAAGTCCATCGTACTTCCCGAACAAGTTCCGCAGGAAGTCGCTCCTTGCGGCGCCCGAAGCGGTGACCAACTCCTCCAGCGTCTCCGCCTGACACGGTTGCTACTGGCGACCCTCTTTGAGACTCAGCTGGTTTGTTCTTCAACTATCACAGATACATACATTGAAACACCTGGCATAGCAGAATGCTGATGACACACACATGGCATACACATGACATACACTGAATGCTGATGCAAATGTCAAACCTCTGTTCTGCCTTGCTTCCACCTGCGCCCATCTGCCTAAAGATTGGTGAACTGGATCGAACAGTTCGCTTGTGCCGGCTGTTCGACGTTCGAGCCGAAAGCTGCAGCAGTCTGCAGGCTGCAGCAGTGGACACCGCAGGAGTCGACTGGTACACGAAAAACATCCAGACAATTCTGCTTCTGCACTGTTTGGCTGTTTGGTTTAAACCACACCGGCCACACGTCTCGGCCGAAAACTGGAGAAGGCTCGGGCAGTCCTTCCTGGTCGCCCAAGGTCTCGAGCGACACAGGGCATCCAAAATCATCCACTCGTGCTCGTTCTCATCCAGCCATTGATCGGTACAACAGCGATCCTGAAGATGAAGCTGCGGCAGACTGACTGCTAAACAAGCTTCTGGCCGAATGCTTTTTCAGTCCGTGGGAAGGGATTCATCATGATTCATCCCACTACATCAGTGGTCTTTCACTTTGTCGGAATGACGGAATGTCCTTGATGTCCACCCCTAGCCAAAGACTATATTGGCCAGAAAGGAGTGGTTGCATCAAAAGACGGACTGAGCTCAAATCTTATCTCGGCTTCTCTGGAACGAGTCGGACCCCAAAAGAAGGCATTACACCCCTCTCCACTGAGTGAGGCTCTCCTGAAACACACCAACAATCTCATATACGGTCTGAAAGAAACAAAGCCACCAGCCATCTTGTCTCGTCTTCTCTCCGTCTTCGGCTCAATAGCAACAACCATCTCATATATGGTCCCCAACAAAAACCAGCACGTCACCTCTCGTCTATCGTCCTCTCGTCTTCTCCTCCCCCGGAAGACATCGGCGTCCTGGGTGTTCTTCAGCTGCACTTCTCGCACGTTCTGAAAGATGGCCGTTTGAGCGCCCATCGCGGTGACGGCGCGCACGGCCAACTTCTCCTTCTGCGGCATGGAATCATTGGTCAAATCCTCAGGAGAACGAAACGTCGGGTCTGGGTCGAAGCACAGCGACGTAGGGCAGCAGTCCAGACCGGCGGACCTGGTGATTTTCTCACCGGCGGACCCGGATGAACCGAAGAAGAAAGCAGGGTTCTGGGGCATTTGAGATATCATCGGTAACACTACGACGGTGCTTCGTTAGACTTCGAGTGGTACGAAGTAGATGTGGTTTGGGACACAAAGGTCATCTAAGGATCCTGAAACTCAGGCAAGGGTATGTCGATCACCTTGGCGGTCTCTCGAATGCTGGCCATGGCGAGTCTGCGGACCAACGTGGATCAAAAGTGCAGGTCGTCTTTGTCTGCTAAAGCGTGGGTGGCAATTTCGAGTGAAAGCTGCTGAAGGTGAACTATGTGCGCCTGATGTGGAAGCATTGTTCTTTTGGTATGTAGTCTGAAATCAAGATCTCACTGCCAACATGTCAGGAAACACAAGAAAAACCGGGCGTTCAGGAGTTTATCAAGCATTCATGTTAAGCCGCAAAAGCAAACTGTTGAACAATCTGTCCGGGAGGGTGAATCCAACTCAACATGCAATTAGGAATCTCATTCATTCCCAGGTGCGGCAATGTGTCGCTTGTGATTGCTGGTGCAAAAGGAGCTGCAACAAGGAGGTCGGCACAGGAGGTCACCCTCCACACAACAGATTTTGTGTTTCCTGTGATTTTCTGAGGCTACCCACCAACCTTTGTACAGCAACAAGAGCCCAAGCAAGCTTTGCAGCTTTGCTTGGAACAACCCCCTTTGGATCCATAGGAGATGTTGCTTTCAAGTCAGACAGCAAGCTCCGAGAGCTTCGAAGAAATGCACAAACACACAGAACTCACGCAGAACTCACTGCTGTGGGCGGTTTGGAACCGGCGGCCTCACTCGAGCGCTCGATCTCCATACGGGTCTCCCCTTTCCTGCTCTCAAAGCGAAAGCGGATCGATCCCCAACGGTCGCATCCGATGGTTTGGAGGATCAACCGAAGCGGAGAAACCGCCAAACAAAACAGAGCGAATCGTTGGGCGTTTGGTTCGACTTGGAAGAGGATGGAATGAAGGTTCCAAGCGGATCGCCCAAGGGGATTTTGGGCGTTCTTTTCTCTGTCCAGCGTTGAAGGAGTTGCTTCTTGGGGGGGATCAGTTTTAGTGTTTTCTTTCTTAAAGGACTCCTTCAGAAACTCCTTCACCAGTCCCTCAGCTCCTCCAAAATGCCGGCGTCTCACGTCTCATTCCCACGACGTGACGACGGTCGACGTCGACGTGGACCGTCCTTCCGATGATTTTGGCGCAATCGGCGTGCGCCACCTGAGTGCCATCGGCAGCCCACGTCGTTCGTCGGTCAGGGCGGCCGCTAAGAATCAGACGTCGTGGTCAGGGAGAAAGGGATACCATCGGGACCCCCCCCGAAACTCGGTGAACTGAGAACTCGGTGAACCAGCGTTTCGGCGCGACTCATGGAATGGAAGAGGACCTTTGACGTTGAATGACGTTGATTCCATTGGGATTCATGAAATCCAAGGGATTCATGGTTGGAATCATGCAGACTTTCTGGAACACCTGCCAATAAACTGTATGGGGATGACCACCTTGGACCACAAGGACCTGCAGGACCTTGCATGGACTTCTTTGGTCACCGGGGCGGTCGTCGACCGTCCCTGGCGCGGTCCTTGGTCCTCTGAGGATCCCGAGCGAAAATCCGCGACGGTGCCTGGCGCGCGACGCGCAGTCGACGGACACCCCGGGCCCAAGCAAGGACGACGTCGAGTGAAAAGCCTGACCCGGCAAGCAAAGGGAATAGGAACTTCGGATTGTTGAACCTGGAGTGAAATGCAGAAGAACTTGCTGAAGTGAAAGAGGTCAACCATATCTGCTAAAGACTAGAAGTACATCCACACATCCAGGGAAGGACCCTTTATTGGGACTTCTTGCCAGCATTTGGGAGCCTGAGCCATTTGGAAGGTACCCCAGCCATTGGTTGGCAAAAAGCTCGTCGGCATTAACCCAGGACAAGGCGACATCTCCTTCCGCGACATGATCGCGGCTGGGAAAACTTCTAGACGCCGAGCGTGCTCGCGGTCGCCTCACACAGTGCTCGCGGCACGTGGCGCACGGCGTGAGGCAGGTGTTCGACCGGTTGGTGGAAATGGATTACCAAGAAAGGAGCTGGTTTGGTTGAAACAAGTACCGTCTTCAGATGACTACCCGACCAAGCCTCAGGGGCACGTGGGCCATGTAGGCGGCAGTCAAAAAAGTAAGTAGATCTTGGCATTTGTTGCTTGGTGGCCGTCCACGTTCCGAACATTCACAACTCAAAGCAGCTGGCAAGCAGGGGTGAGTATATAGTGGTTCCGATTCCAGGATCTTTAGATATAGATCCCAGGATCCCCAGTGAATGTTGAGTAGGGTTACTATCCCTTCGAATAAAGCAGCAATGTCCCCAGCTGGTCAAAACTCCATCGCCACGGTTCAGAACCACCGGTCGTGTTGTGTTGCTTTCGCAACCGGAAACTCCATAAATGTAGAAGAACAATGCTTGTAACAAACATATCATGCAATGCAATGCATTAAAATGCTCAAGAATGGGCTTCTTCCTTCCTCATTTGCTTTTGGGTCCTCACAACTACAAAAACCTCACGTCCTCCCAAACGTCCCTCGCGTCTCCCCCACCTGTAACTGGGAGACCTACTCCGCGCCCGCCGGCTGCGAGAAGCCACCCGCCGCCGGCTCGGCGACCTGCAGTCGGCGCATGGTCGGCTCGCTAACACCGGGGGCGGGTGGCTTCGAGGCTCTTCGAAGCCAATCAAAGGGTGGGAGAGCATGCGGTTTGAGCCAAGAACAAGGGTGTGCACTGTGTACACTCTTAAGAAGCCAATGCAAGTACGGAAGACTAAACATGGTGGTTTTCCACTTCCACCATGGATGCTTTCAGGGAAGTGTAGATTCTTAGAAGCACAACCGAAGTACCAGGCACGAACCTCTCTGTGACTGCGTCAGTCGCGTGACCGTTGGCTATTCGTCAAGATGGCACCTGTGATGCCAGACATGTCTATGATTTCACGTGCAGCAACTGTGTGCAGCGGCGAAGTATTGTGTGCATTGTGGTTTCAAGAGATTGGGGTCTTTGGTCTCCTACGTTCGCCTGAAAGAAGGTCGTCACTGCATGTAGGCCCAAAGGGCCGGTGAATTCTGATACAATTCCTCATCGTTCATCAATCAGCTGGCAAAAACACCCTTAACATGAAGGCTGGAGACCGACATTTGGAGACCTAGTCTTTCTGATAGCTTTCATTCCGATGTAAACGTGCCCGACGGGTAGGATCGATCATTGCGATAGGGGTCCGTGGCGGCCCCGAGAAGACCACCGGCAGACCCGATGGAGAAACCGACCCAGTGCCTTGCTGAACGAATGAAGTAGCAACAGTAGCAACAGTAGTTAACCCGTATTTCCATGACCAATCATGCAACTCTTCCACCAGGAAGCCACAGGAATGTCGTTTCTTCCTCCTTGTAGAGGTTCAAACCGTTCAATCCACGGCGCAGAATCCCTCCGCTTCTGACACCCCGACCGGGCCAAAAAACACAATGAGGATTGGACAACATCTATGGTTTTGGTGGTTTTGGATGGTCCCCCCGTACTTGGTTCAGAATTGCAAAAGGAAGGGGGCGACCCTGACCATCCCACAAATTTTGTCCATCACTCACATGAGAACACACCCATTTTTTGATGAGAAAACACAGAAAAAGAACTGCTTCCTTTGTACACACCCCTACAAGTCCAAGGGCCAAGTTAAAGCTGGTCCTTGACCTCATTGAGTACTGGTCTTGTATGACCGGATCCAGTCAAATGAGGTCCACAGTGTCCTTGACCTGTAGAGCACATGAATTCCTTGGCTCTTGAGCTACACCCCTCTTTCCTGTGGTTCTTCACCTGCACGGCCTGACCCGTGCCCCGCCTGGACTGCCGCGACCGCGACGGCGAGGAGCGCGCGCGCTGCCGCTTCCGCCGCCGCCGCGGGGGCGAGCTGCGGCTCCTGGGGCGGGCGGGTGGTTTTGGGCCATACCCCACCTGGGTGGCTGGGGTAAAAAGGAAGGCATGGAATTAATTGGTATAGGAGTTATAGGAAGGCCTAAACATGACCTCAGTTTTCGAAGTTTGAGTGAGCATATTTTTGGGTGATTGGTCCAAAATGGTCACTCAGGCAGCTGGATGATGCTGAATGTGGCCTTTGGCCGAAAAGTATGTACCACCACTCTAGTTTTCCAGACATGTTTGTAGAGAAATGCTCTGAGATCTGAATGTTTCTGAGTGAACACCAAAGAGTCTTCCATAGGATTTGTGAAAGAACCACATTCCTTTTGGAGTCAGAATGCTCAGAGAGGTCATCCGAAAAATCTGACATCGCGGCTGCCACTTGAACGGACGAAGAAGTGTCTGGTTCAAAGGGAGCCCAGTGGTTCGCTTTCACATGCTGACTAGTGCTTAGTGGGGAATAAGGGAATGAGCCCCCAATAGAGATTCCATAGGATCCAGCCACCCTCATTCCCTAATTACTAGCACGAGTCAGCATGAAGGTGAAAAGTACTCCCACCAAAAACGCTTCTGGAGCTCAGGTGAGTTCCGCCACGACCACGGCCACGTGTGTCGCGAATTGACCCATCTCCGGCCTCGACCTGGACCGTGCCATGGCAGATCTTCACCTGTCGCGGACCCATCGACAAATTGATCTTCACTGTGCCAGTGCTTCTGAGAATTTCAAGTGATTGCTTCTGAACTGCAGTGTGAGTGCCCAAAAAAAAAGACGCTTGAGTGAGTCGGCTTGTGGTTCCAAGAAGCAGCGGCTCCGCTGCGACTCCACGTCCAGCGCAGCGCGCCCAACCAAAACACCAAGAACTGGTGGCACAAAGGACCGGCACCGTGAGTTGCTTGGAGTAAGTCTGATGACCTTCCATGGTCACATCCGGTTTGAGTCTTTGCCTTTCTTGTTTCGTATTTGGTTTCCACAAAGAAGGTGTCACAGCACCATGGTGTCCACTTTCACCGGCACCATGTGACCCAATGTGAGGACGCGTGCAGTTGCGAGCGGACGGGGTGACCGCAATCCCGGCCGCCGGCTTCCGCCGGGGCATTCACATGCATCGGATCGGGGAAAGATCACTAAGCCGAATGAGCCGGGCTCCTTTTGACCGCAAAGCCCGCAGATCCGCAAGCACCGCAAAGGAAAAAACGGCCAAAAGACCATGCAGGCCGCCTGGGTGTGTATTTTTGATAGGCGCCCCAAGTAGCTAGACCTTCCAGGGGGGGTCGCAAATGCCTGAAAGGTCTCTCTGTCTCTATCTTAATACGCACCCGGCACCCAAAAGGAAGCGAACAATGCGATCCAACGGGTTCTTCGCCTGTGAGACCGCAGAATCACCGCCCAGACCCCACAAGAACCGATTGGGGGGCCCGCGGACCGGGGGTCTCGGAAGCTCGTCTTCTCCGTGCGTCGGCAGCTTGTGACCCGCTGGCTCGGGGATGCAGCCAGCGGGCAAGTTCGTGCCGAAAGGGCGCGAACACAGCGCGCACAAGAGCGCGCACCAGACGGGCCCAAAGATGTTGGGACTGAAGACATGTTTATTCAATTGTGAAGACATGTAATGATGCACAGTATCTGATTTTATCTATGGCCTGTTTCAATTTAGTCACTTTAGTCCAAAGTTCACGATTTTTCGATGCCCGGGTGGTGAGCGGAAAGCTCTGTCCATCCTTTTTTGGTCGTTTTTTCACCATCACGATGGCCCCTTTTCGGCTTTCTTCCTTTGGCCAGACCGTTGCCGAAGACATCCACTTGTTGCGAGAATCACATCTGTCTGTGACTTTTGATCACTTTGGGTCAGGAAAATCCCAAACTGACATGTTTGTTGGACGCTATACCGAGCTAACCGTCATCACATGTCATCACTCAACTGCGTGAGAAAGAGAGTGTCTCAGCTGCCGGCTCTAAACAGAGACGTCAACTCAGGAAGCCCAACGGCAGGAAGTCCAACCCGTGACGGCGCTGCTGAGAACACAGGTGACACACGGCGCTTTGTGCAACTGGCACAGTGGCAACACCAAACATGGGCACCCTGCCCGCCCAAAAAGGAGTTGAACTCGTCTGACGAGCCGTTGCTGGTTTCGGCTTCCCGCCTCCTGCGCCTCCTGTTTCAATCAAGCATTGCAGGAACAAACTTGCAAAGATCGCCAAGCTTCATTCAAGCAGCTATGCTGATCTAAGTTGGCTGCTGCTGTTGTTTCTATTGTTGATGAAACTTGTCTGCATCATGCGCTTCCTCGATATATTCCTTCAGTATTTCTACCCGTAACTTGAGCACGGCAAATAACTCAATCACTGACACACAGAACATGTGGCAAACATTGGCAACCGGCGTGAAACAAAAATTACTAAGAAAAGAGTCGTGAAAAAGAACGCAGAATAGCTGAACCCTTTTCGCTTTTGTTCCGTTATTGCGATTTTACGCACCAACGGAAGGCCATTCTCTCTCGGCAAGCCGAGGCATTTTCTCTCTATCGGCCGATTTCGCCGACAGTGGGTCAGCAATCGCAGGACGATGTTTTTGGTGAACGGTTGCTTCACGCGTTCTCAACCCGAAAGAAAACGGGGGTAAAAGCAACACTGGTTCTTTCCGGCCAAGTTCTTGGTCCCTCCGGGTCTATTCCTTCCAATCTCACGAACCTCCTCACATTGTAACATGCATTGGAACCACTCCCAAAACCGTTCCGGCTATATATCCATCGACAAATCCAACTCTTCCCCCACCTTCGCAAAATCGAAAGAACGAGGAAGGGACATCAGCTCCAGGTCCCGGAAAAGCACCCGGTCCCTTCCCTTTCCATATCTTTCCATGGATCTCTTTAGTGGGTCTGAGAATGGACCTCTTGCCTCTTGCGCTTACTGATGACAGGTTGCCTGTGATCGCACATGCACTGAGAATGGACCTGGATGAAGGATGAAGGATGAAGATCAGCTTCTCATCTTTGGCCGATTTCTTTGTTCTCTTTGTTTCACCACCTCTCACGATCCGACAATCGGAATGGTGAGGAAATCCCAGGCATCACTGGACCACCTGTTTCACTTGGACCTGCAATCACTGGCATGTCCACTTCGAGTTCACCTGCTCCGTTGCTCCTTTTGAGCGACAGGAGGGAGCGACCTATGATACAAAGAGTGACATCGCCACGCGACCGGGAAGCAGGAACCAAGCATTGCAGCATCCCAAATCTCCAAAACCATCTGAACCACTCCATGGTGGTTCACGAAAATGATGAATATTCTTTGAATTCGATCTCATGTGATCTTCTTTTCGTGCTCTTTAGGAAGGGTCAGCAAGCATGTACGGATATGTACTGAACCAGTTGCCATCGGGTGTGGCCTTCCACGTCTGCTTCCACGTCGCTCGGACAGGAACTGGACCTGCTCATCTCGGTCTCCATTCGGTTCCACTCTCGGCTTCCCATCGACTTCAACCTGTCGAGACATCGAAATCCGTGCAAACGCACGAGGAAGACTTCTCCTCCACCAGCTCTTCTGATTTCCGAGCGATATGGAGAATCTCTTCCTTCACTCGACTACCCAGACGCGACCCTGGACCCGAATCCTCATGGAGGGGTCTGGGGTCTCAAAATCTCTTGGTTTTGAGGGACCCAAGACCAACGGAGCGTCTGGGTAGTTCAGATATCAACACCTGAGACCCTTCCGACGACCCTCGGAGAGATCAGACCCACCGACCTTCCAGACGTCCCGCTGAGGCCCTTTTTCGGGAGAGGATCCACTGAGGACTGCATACTGGTGCCTAGACCATCCACTCAATCTGGGTAGCATCAGACAAACCCCTTTTCCTTTGGAACAGCTGGGATCGCATCAAACAACAACGTTATTCTTTTGGACACCCGAAGTTGTCTCCCCTAAAAAACAAGGCTCGAGATGAAGGCGAATCTGGATTCAACAAAATTCCGTCGCCGGCGACAGCTCCGCCAAGGTGCGTGGGCGTTGACTGATTTTGGGGAACATGCCCCAACACAAACTACAGACCATGCACCTGGATCTTCCCAGTGACCTTTTGATCCCCTGGTTTGAGGTCACTTAGGCTTGTAAAAGGTCACTTAGGGATTCCAAAAAGGTCACTGGGAAGGTCCTGGCATGTGCTTCTGAGTCCTACGAACTCCACGGAACTTACCCTCCCCATCCCTCCCACATCTTAACAAAACACTTCTGTGAGTCCTGGGGGCTTTTGGTCGGGGGTTTCCGACTTTTTGGTCCTTTTTTTCCGCTGTCGTCCGTCGGGATCCGAGAGGCTCTTTTTGCGTCACAGGCGGATGGAGCTTGGAAGATGGGCGCCCTAAGTGCCGTCGCGAAAGCGCTGTTGAGTCGCCCAAAGTGAGACACTCCCGGCTGGTCCCGGGTCCTGTTCCTGGTTCCTGGACACATGGGCCCAAGGAATTGGAATTCCCCACGGATAAAAATCGCGCTGACTCACGTCAGCCCCTGTCCTTGTTTCGGGGAGGGAAGAAAGGAGCGAACTTTCAACAAGACCAGGCAGGTACGGAGCGAAGTTCCAACTCTCCGGATGGCATATATTTTGGACACATCCAAGGGGTCCCCAATAGACCCATGCTCCTGCTCCTGGTCTATTAGAAACATCCGGTGAAACACCAAGAACCCGAGCATGCCGAGCCGGCATCCATCAAACCACCCGCTCGGGTCGCTTCATGGTCTCAGGCAGCGAGTGAGTGTCGTACCAGCACCGGACCCATAAACCCACCATAACCCACTCTCCATCTTCCAGAGAACTATTTAGTGATCGAAGTAACTCCAAGGGAAACATGATGAAACCCTCTTCTACAACCCCCATGCTGAACTGCCGGGCATCGTGATCATCGACGGTGGAGACATTGCCTCTGGTCGACGGTGTTGCCCACGGCGCCAGACGCGGTAGACAGAAGACACAGAGAGATCTAGAACCATCTATGACGGATTCCGTCTGCCCACCATGGATGACAATGGATCGAATATCAAGTAACTCATGTTTGTTACTAACCCTGACGCTCCAAGGACCTTCTGACAATCTGAGAAGGTACTTGGAGCCCTAGGGTAAGGATTTTCATTTGGCAAAACCAGGAAAAAAAACACCAAACACATGTTGAACTGGTCTTCACGGGCCAAAACTGGAGGTCAACAACTACGGGAGACTCCGTCGGGTCAACGTGCGGGAGAGAATCCGTGACCCTGTGACGTCGGGTCAACGTGCGCGTTGCTTCGTGAATGGGTTTCGGTGATCTGCGTCCGGGGAAGAAGAGGACCTCAGGTCTCACCATGTCTCACCTGTCACAAGACGTCACAAGACGTGGAGGAAGCAAAGACGTGGTTTTTGAGTCCCATCCAGTGAGTGGATGTTCTGGGCACCCCCCACTTCCTCCAAGAGGCACTTGAGAGGAGGGAGACACGAAAGGTAGGACAGCGGGAAGAGAAGAGAACGCGAGAGGCAGGAACAAAAATGCTATGTTCGACATGGTGATTTATCCCCTTGGAGGCGACCTTTCGTAAATATATGTTCATATGCACTCTGAATATTCAAACATATGCTCTCGAAATGTTCAAAAAGATTCTTAGGAAAACAAACTTGCCCCATGGCTCAGATCATCGGTGAGCATTGAATCGGAACATCATAGGATTTGAACTATCCTGAAACCATAAGAGGCTCACGAAGACGCTCCCCAGGAGAGAATTGACGTGCTTCACAAAACAAACTCTAGGTATGTATCCCCTCGGGGAACACCTTTCGTGATTAGAATTTCATATTCACTCTTTCTGAATGTTCAAGAGGGTTTCAACTATCCTGAAATCATGAGAGCCTCACGAAGACGTTCTCCAGGAGAGAATTGATTTTAGAGGGGGGGAG